GCCTGCCTGCTTCTTTATCTAGCTTCAAAGATAGTCAAGGGTAAGAGACCTAGAAAAGTCCATCCAGGCCTAAAAAATAAAAATTAGGTTTTTATGTGAACCTTGACCATGTAAAAGCATTTTGTGGCTCTTACTTGGACCTTCTGAGTATATTTTAGGACACAAGCAATGTGTTTCTCAAGAAATTCCTAATCCTAGTGGTCAAATAATGGTCAAAGGCCTTTCTCAAACAACCTTTATCGCTGACTGTAAAAATAATTTTGAACCAAATGGGAATATTTGACCACAGGCAGATTTCACACAACTTATCTCTTGCACTGTAAAAGTAAAGCTGGTCTTTTTTTTTTTTTCTTCAAGTTTGTCAATGCAAAGGTCAAGTGGATACAGGATGGGGCCAGTTCTTCACTAACCGAAGGATTCAGAAGAGACACACCCCTCCACCTCCACCCAATCCAGTGGGAACACAGTCGTGACTTTTGTCTTCGCATCTCCGTCTTCCCCTCGAACGTGTGACCGGGATCATCAACCTTAGAATAAAGAACGTTTTTTGGCTACCCCTCGCACCACACGTGTCCGTGGAGCCTGAGGATCCTGTATGAGTTTAGAAAGGCGGGAAAGAGGCGATCCTCAAAGAGATGCTCAGAGGGCCGCGAATTGCCACCGGACGATCTTGAGCACCAAGGTTTCTGAGAGCAGTCGTTGCCCCCCTTGCCAGACTAATCTCCAGCGGTGAGGACGCAAGAGTGGAGAATCCGGTCCCTATCCGGAGAAGTCGGAGCGGGCGTGGCCAGGAGAGACGATCTTTAGACCCTGCTGCCTTGGAAGCCTAGTGACCTGACTTGGGAAAAGCCCTTCAACCACTAGTCGCCATCTCTTCCTGCCCTAATAGAGCTCCGCTAACATGAAGATTTACTGGTCCGTTTGCCTTTCTGGCTCCGGCTTGTAGAAAACTTTCTGGGTGAACTACAACCATTATCTTTACGCCTGCTAGCAATTCCCAACCTTTGTGGGTTAAGCACCCCTTGGCATTCCCGCCCGGCTTCACCCGTCCTTCTTCACGAGTTCTGTGTGCCCGTTCGTCCTTGAACCCGCCTCTGGCTCAACCCAAAAGGCCCTAGACTGCAAATCGGCTCCGCACTGAGCCCTTCCGCAAGGAGGCCGCCTCTCAGAAACCACGCGGGACTGGCGAGTCGTAAAGCAATTGCAGGGGCAATAAAAAGACATCTCGGTGGGTCTCCCCAGTTCCTTTCTTGTCCACCCCACCGTCCCCCAAGTGCCCGCCCGCCTGGAGAAACAATCAAACAAAAGCTCAAAAGCCAGGAAATGTCCAATTCACTTCCCTTAGAGTTTATTAATTGCCCACACCCATCGTAGGAAACTTGACTGTGTTAAGTGAGGCACGGAAGGCACCTGGAGCTGGGAGACGCAGCCTTCCCTCCCGACAGCGGGAAGCCTGCCGCAACATCCCCAGGCGCCAAGTTCTGTGGCCTTTAGGTAGCTAAGCTGCAGCGTGGCCGTCGAGTTCCGGCCAGCTGGGAGTTGTCTGCGCCTTCTACCTCCCCGCGCCTTTGTTTGGGGGGCTAGAAAGAGGTTGGGGTTACTGGAACAAACGTGAGGTCTGTAAATTTACTGCCGTCAGAGCCCCGGTTGCCTCTAGCATCGGTATTTTCAAGGCTTGCTATATCTCTGCCTTCATACAAGGACATTTTGCAGCGGAAAGCGCAGACCAGGGCTCGAGTTTTGGGAAGTGGCCCCGAAGACCAGTTCCACCATCAGAAGAGAGTAACAGTCCACAGAAAGGGGAGGAATGATCACGAATACATCTATTACTCCCCGCTTTGGAAACCAGTACATTATTCTCTTCAATACTCTGAAAATTGTTGTTTATTTAAGAAGTGTGACACAGTTATTGCGTCCTTAGAAAGCAGGGATTTAAGGGGGTTTGGGGTTGGCTCCCAAACAGCTTGAAAAAGAAACAGCGCACCTGGGGTCAGGCAGGTCATCACAATAACAAAAAGCGCGTCTACAAAATAAAAAGCCCTTTTATAAAGCAAGGCAATCCCGGAAATCCACAGCGAGCCTTCCTGACGACCAAGTAGCTAGGCCTATTCTCAGGTTTAATTGGCAGGCGGTTTATTGGCTACTTATTGGTGTTGATTGAAATTTTGCTCCCCAGCCCTTTCTTTCAAGAATTAGCATCTCAAATCGATTTACCTGAGTCAATTATCTTTTTAGGGTCTGGGTTTGGTCATAAATTTGAATATTCATTAAACTCACTTTAAATAAATATTCCCTTTCCAGTCACCACCCAGACTTCTGTTATTTCCAAAGAAAGTGTTTTCTTTTCTTCCTTCCTTCCTTCCTTTCTTTCTTTCTTTCTTTCTTTCTTTTCTTTCTCTTTCCCTCCCTTTCTTCCTTCCTTCCTTCCTTTCTCTCTTTCTTTCTTCCTAGGTCTCCCATAAAAAGGAATTGATCAGGGAGCTATATTTGAATTAAGACATATTAAATCGATGACAGATACATATCATGCTGTGTTTAACAAGAGTTGTACAAGGAGGCGGGTTCCAGATTCCACGCGGCTCTGCTGCAGTATTATCCACATTTTTACAGCCTTTCCTTCATGCCTCCATCCATTAAACCATTAAATTTCAGCAATTCAATAAAAAACAAAGCAGTTATAATCTTGACGAAAAGCCATTTTGAAGGGGGTGGAGGCACCTATTTTATGGCACAATAAAATTGCTCAAAGGTCCATATCATAAACTAGGTTGTACTTATTTTCCTTATTCACTTTTTTTTTTTTTTTTTTTTTGCTGATAACCTGCAGTAGCAGTAGTGCACTCTGAGCTGTCATTACTGCCGGTATGGACATTCATTGCCAAGAGGTTGAAATAAAAGGAAAATAATTTGAAATCTCCTTCAAGGAAATGAAGGCAGTGGTAATAATTCCCAAGGTGACATTTCCCTTATACGCCATCTATACAGATGGCACCGTTTTTCACCAACCTTTCCATGGTTGGCTCAGGATATTTAAGTGTCTGAAACAACTCATCATAGAAGTCTCCTCCCCAAATACAGATGTGGCTTTGATTATTGTCACTGTGTGTGTGTTTCTGCTCATGCTCTCCACCTTTTCCCCAGACTTAAACTTCATTTAAGCTCAAAGAAGGCATTTAGAATGTGATGGCATGATCGTCCTTGTTTGGTTGCCAGCTTTATAAGAAAAGTGACATTCCCAAGGTTCATAGGGAGGCTCCAGCAGCATGGTTCACACCGATGTCAATGGCGCTAGCAAACCAACTCTGGAATTAATACTTCTTTTGAGGGCCATGATCTGATGACAGCTTTTGGGGGGTTGATCTTTACTCCAACTACAAATGAATAAAGCTTGAACATGGTTGCTTATGTTCCTGCCCCCTACCTCCCACCCACCCCACTCTCCACCTCGGGATGTGGGGAGGTATCATATTCAACTCCTTATTATTATTTTATAGATGATTTTATTGAAAGGATCAAAATATTTTCACTCTAGTTTGAGCATTTTAGGACATCACAAAATTAAGAATACTTTATTCAAATAAAAAACAAATGACACTTTGGGCGATTGAAACTCCCTAAAGGGGGGGTGTCTCATATTTCTCCTCCGCCCCCCCCCCAATGATGCAGGGACCTACTCATATTTTTCAAAAAGGTTTGGTGGCAAACAGATCCAAAGGGATAGCATTTGCTGAAAAACAGGGCGTGGGATCCTAGGTTTTTTGACTTTCAAGTATGGCATTTTGATTTAACAAGGAGGCAGCTTATTCTATTAATAAATAAATAGGCAAGATACGTACTGATTTTTAAATATTTTATTTGGTCTATTCCAACTTGTGGTCCTTCTGGAGAAACTGAGTCACATTCTGGGCAGGAAGGAGACATTCTGCTTAAAGGATGTCTCTTATTTAATGGCTTAGGAGAAACGTTATTTGGCCTTCTCTGCCACTGTATCTCTGGGAGGCAAAAGTTAGCTTTGCCTCCCTGCTCCATGTTCCCATCTCCCCGTCCCTCAGGGAGATACAATTGGAAGAAGTAGATCTAGAACCCATGAGCAGTGAGATTACATCCTGAGTCCATTCCTTTGAACCATATTGAATGGAACCCATGAGCTAAAATAGCCTAAGCAATACTGTACCTTTGGGGAACGATCTATTATATATTATTTTTACTTTGGTATTTTCCCAAGTTCCATCCAATTGTTTTGCAATCAATTACGTTTACTAATCGTCCTTATTCCGCCTCCGGTCTATACCCCACGTGGGCCCAGGGGAAGACGAGGTCCATATAAGAAGTTTCTGGCGTTGCTACAGATACCATGACAGGATGGTCACTCGGCCCAGAGATCAGCCGGGGATAATCCAAGAGAGGAGGTAGAAAGTGTTCGGGTACTACCATCCTCAGATCCTTCCCCACCCCCACTCCCGTCGCTTTACCCCTGGTCGGGAGGTCCCTGGACCCCTCGCAATTGGATGCACTCAGGTCCGGAGCTAACAGATGCTCCATGCCATGCGCGTTGACCGAACGTTCTCAGGGGACCGAGTACGAAGGCCAAGCACAAACTTTCTGCAAGTGGAACTTGGGCACCCGGGGGGAAACCTGCATGCAGAGCTACTGGAGAGGAGGGGGCGCGAAGCGAAAGCGCAGGCGGTCTGGAGCACAGGGGCGGTTCCCCGCTGGGCCCAGAGCCTGAACCGGAGCCAATCGCGCAGCCGAGACAGCTGCCAATCACACGGCTCCCTCCAATCCCACCCGTGCCATTTCCAAAAACTCGGTCCCACTGTGCAGCTCAAATGTGGTGTTCACTCTGCCAATCGCTGGAGGATAGAAAGGGGACATGAATAAGCAGTTAGGAGGCCAGGACACAAGAAGTTAAAGAGCGCCTAACATATACATGTTTTTGAAGGCGGGCAGAGGGGAAAAAAGTGCCCCCAGCGAGGGTCTATGGGCCTGATTGTATAGTTATGATGGAGCCCCCTTTGAGCAAGAGGAACCCGCCAGCGCTGAGATTAGTGGATTTGGCAACGGCTCAGGCCCAGCAGCTTCAGAATATGACAGGATTCCCGGTGCTGGCCGGCCCGCCCGCCCACTCCCAACTCCGTGCCGTCGCCGCGCATCTCCACCCGCGGGACCCAGACACTGACCCCGGCGCGGCCAGCACTGCGCTCGGACCCGAGCACATGGCACAGGCCAGTGGGCACGGCCCCAGCCCTCCCGCTCAGGCGCTTCAGGGACAACCCCAGGCTCCCGCGCCCGCCGCCCGCTCGGCGGCCTCAGGGGCGCACCCGGGCACCCGAACCCACCCCGACGGAGGGGACAGCGGTGGCGCGCAGGCCTCGGCGCCCCCGCCTCCAGCCCCTCCTCTTCCTCCCTCCCAGTCCCCCTCTCCCCCTCCCCCGCCTCCTCCTTCTGCCCTCTCGGGCTACGCCGCCACCAACAGTGGCGGCGGCGGCAGCAGCGGCAAAGGCCACAGCAGGGACGTCGTCCTCCGGAGGGACCTTTCCGCCACGGCCCCCGCGGCGGCCATGCACGGGGCCCCGCTCGGAGGGGAGCAGCGGTCCGGCAGCAGCTCCCCCCAGCATCCGACCCCGCCTCCCCACCCAGCCGGGATGTTCATCTCGGCCAGCGGCACCTACGCGGGCCGGGACGGTGGCGGCCCCGCTCTCTTTCCCGCGCTGCACGACTCTCCGGGGGCTCCTGGCGGCCACCCGCTCAACGGCCAGATGCGCCTGGGGCTGGCGGCCGCTGCTGCGGCAGCGGCCGAGCTGTACGGCCGCGCGGAGCCACCCTTCGCTCCGCGCTCAGGGGACGCGCACTACGGGGCAGTGGCGGCCGCCGCGGCCGCTGCCTTGCACGGCTACGGAGCCGTGAACTTAAACCTGAACCTGGCTGCGGCCGCGGCAGCCGCGGCGGCCGCGGGGCCCGGGCCCCACCTGCAGCACCACGCACCGCCCCCGGCGCCACCGCCAGCGCCCGCGCCGCACCCGCACCACCCCCACCTCCCGGGGGCGGCCGGGGCCTTCCTGCGCTACATGCGGCAGCCAATCAAGCGGGAGCTCATCTGCAAGTGGCTGGACCCGGAGGAGCTGGCCGGGCCGCCGCCCGCGGTCAGCGGCGCCAAGCCCTGCTCCAAAACTTTCGGCACCATGCACGAGCTGGTGAACCACGTCACTGTGGAGCACGTGGGCGGCCCGGAGCAGAGCAGCCACGTCTGCTTCTGGGAGGACTGTCCGCGCGAGGGCAAGCCCTTCAAGGCCAAGTACAAGCTCATCAACCACATCCGCGTGCACACCGGCGAGAAGCCCTTCCCCTGCCCGTTCCCGGGCTGCGGCAAGGTCTTCGCGCGCTCCGAGAACCTCAAGATCCACAAGCGCACTCATACAGGTGGGTGTCTGTCCCCGGCCGCGCCGCCGCCGCCACCGCCTGCGCCGCCTCCTCGCCGCTGCTTCGCCTTCTGCTCGCTTTCATTTTCCCCTCCGTCTGCTGCTTCTCCTCATACGTATAACCCGGACATGTGACTTCTTTTTTTTTCTCTCCCCCTCCCCCCTTTTTTTCTATGAATAAGTAATTCGATAGCACACACAGGCTCCGCGCTGGCCTCTCTCTTGGCGGAGTCTCCAGCGCGCCCGCAGCCCCTCCGCCGGGACCGGCAAAGCGCTCCAGCCGCCACCGCCTCCGCCGCCGCCCGGGAGCAGCAGCAGCAGGAAGGCGCCCAGGACGGTCGGCAGCCCCCACGCGCCCAGCCCCGGGAGGTCGGGAGGCCCATGGGGAAGGGACCTCTGACTGGGGTCGCCCGGTGGCACCTTCCTTCCTCACGGGACGCAGGTCTCAAGCGACCGCTGCGTTGCCGAGATACGGCGTGGGAGGGGCGCGTGGGATTTGCTGCGGTTTGGGGGCTGATCAGTGCGGTCTCACCCGGGAATCAGGGGTCCCGGTGCCACCGGGTCCGGTTGAGGAAAGCCTGAGGGAGAGTACAGCACCCTGGGACCTTAGGAGGCATCCAGCCATTCACACGCTCTTCACGGGAGCGCATCTCACACCAGTTCACACATTTCTGACTCCAGTGATACCACGACCTCCCTCCTACGCACAGCCTCACTCAACACTTCACTTACATACCCTCACACACGTTCCGCCGGCCCTACCTAGAGTGTGTTGGGGCACTGGAGAAGTTGGCTTTTGTCCTTTTAAAGAAGGTTTTGGCACCAGTGAGGGTGGTTTCCTGGGTCGGTACGGCCTACCCCTCTGTAGAACTTGGGAAAAACTCTCAGCACCGTGAGGATCCCCCTCCTATGGTAACCCACGTCGTGGCTCTGGTGTGAAAGGCTGGGGCATAGGACAGTAGAGGGACGGGTCCTGTGGCCCAGTAGAATGCACAATTGCGCCATGCGAAAGCGCTGTGGAGCGCGGGTGTAGTCAAGATTTATATGAGAGACAATATTACTCCTCCGAGGACACTTAGGTAACCCGAGTTTACATTCAATAATCGTTTGACTGATTTATCTGCGCATCTGGGACAAAGAGGCAGCCCGAAACGTGGGCCCTTATGTAGGACCTACCGGCCTGAGTGAGGCCTTGAGGTCTTTATGAGAGCATCTTGGTTCGCAACCCCAGGCCTTGTTTTTGCGGTCCTACACCTTGCAGGCTTCCCTGTGACTCGCAGTACCCGGAGGAGGATAGGACCGTCTAGGAGTACATTTTCCCTCGAGGCCTCTTTTTCCCCCCTTCCCTTTCCGTAACTGGGATCAATTCTCCTTAATGACTTTTCCAAACGGAAACTTCCCACGAGACTCTCGTAAAAACAACCAGGCCAGCTAAGGCAGCAGAATGCAAAACACTTCCCCCACGCAGCCAGGGCTAAAGGGAACTTCAAAATGCTGTGCAGGAGGCTTTGGGCCCTCTCCACTTCCCCAGGCCTCGAGAGGCGAGTGGACCTTACCCTGGAGGCTGCTGGCAGCTGACCAAGGAGAAACTGACTGACAGACTCCCTTCATGGCTTTTGGGTTCCCACAGGATAGGCTGCCCTCTGACCCTATCCGTGGCAGCAAGTGGTGGGATTTTCTTGCTGGTTCCACTAGTAGGGATAATTACATTGCTTGTTCCCACTTCCAGAGGCTGCATGGACCCTTGCAGGTGGAGCTGGTGGGGCGCCCCTCGAGAGATACTGGCACTGGCAGATTCGGTTCTTAGCCAGCGTGCTACAGTTTGGCTGTCCCCCGGCTTTCGGAGCCAATGGGCATTGTATCGAGAGATAGACCGACTCTACTTCCTTTCCTCCCTGCCACACTGCCTTCCCTTGTGGGGTTATCAGGGATCCCAGAACAGATGGATCAAAGGACTAATCCCCTGGCCACTCCTGAAGGGCCTGTTCCCTGACCCACGTGCCCTACAGCTGCATTTATAACCTGTGTCTGGCCGGTGTCTAGAGGGAGTTGGCAAGATCTAGGCCACATCTACATAGCTCTTTGCTACAGGCACCAAGTCTCCAAAACTCTGCATGGTTCAATTTTGACATGACCTCTCTGTCAGCGTCTGTAACGGAAACACTGGGGTCGCCCAGCTCTTCTGGTTAGGCACTCCCTGGCCCCTAAGCAACATCGGCTGTTAAATTGTATCTAACTTCGTTTTCTTCCTCTCTCCGGCCCCTGTCCTTTATTCGCTAGCCTCTTCCTTCTTTCCACCCCCATCTCCTTCACTGAGTCCTGCTGCTTTTTCTCCAGTGGAATGGAGGAACCAGCAATATTCTACACTTGTTTTTCCCAATGTAGGCTGCTCAGAAAAATGAGAATTTTGAAAAGTAGTGTATTTGCTTGGAATGCATAAAACCACTTAAGCCTTCATATTGAAGGGCTGATTATATGTGTATGTGTATATAAATATGTAACGCATAGTATATATTTAAAAGATGCGCTGTTAAATGAGGCTTACCTTGAACTTACAGTGTAATACAGAAATCCTGACAAATCCATGTTCTGATAGAAAGGGATTAATTAATCTAGAGAATTTTAAAGGTTGTGATTATCATTGTGAGTTGTGCATCCCTTCGACTGGTGGGTTAATGTAGGAGGTACATTTTAAAAATAGCTAATTTCCTTTGTAAACAGTATTCTGGAAAGTTATATTTTAGGCACCTAAATACTTTCAGCTGTATTATACTCTGGCATTGGAGCAGTTACCATTGGTGGAACAGGAAAGAAAAAAGACCTCATTGAAATATTGGTATGGAGAAAATAAGATAATTACCCACAGAGGTTTATCTACTGTTATGCCTTTTTGAAATATATTATCCAAAACAAAGAACATTTTCCTATGTTCTATGCTGGTTTTTTGTTTTATTTATTTATTTTTTTAATCCTCTCAATGGAAAAAAGTAGTATTAAAAACAGTATTATGGGATGAGTTATTCAGTTTGGGGCCTGAATACATCAAGCTCATAGATACTGAGGTCAGAGGAAGCTCAATTATCTGACCTGTTGTCATCTTCTTTTTCATAAACACCAAAGTGGTTTGGCTAAGTGTCCCTAGTTACAGCTCACTAAACAGTTACTTCCTGGACATGTGGCCTATGTTTAAGGAGTTGTGTTTGGGGGGCTGATGGGTAAGATAAAGAGGTGATAGGTCAAAGGACTTCTTTTTTTATATGGTTTTGATTATTAAGGAGTGAAGAAAACTGTCAGGTTAAGTGTCCTTGGGGCACAAGGTACAGGTAGGTGTGTTTACTAGTGTCTGTTCCTTACACACCTTATAGGGGTCGTTGGTGGAACGCAGACACCAATGCCCAACCAACTTTGTAAAATCTCAGGATTGTGTGTTTCACAGGTGTCATTATTTCCGAAGAGAAGTGTGTTTAGTTTTTCTCCTTTCCTTTCCCATCAGTGAATCTAGGGAGAGTCTCAATGATGTGCCATTATCATCTCTCTATGCCCCCCAAGTTACTGTAAATTAGTATATATGTTTGTGTGTGTGTTTCTTTTTCTATGATTCTCGTTTATAACCACTGTTTTGGAAATATGGTTTAATTGGTGTTTATCTTAACAGGGAATCTTCCACCTGTGTTCAGACCTTAAGGGAGTGTGTGTGTGTGTGTGTGTGTGTGTGTGTGTGTGTGTGATGGCGTGGCATGGAACCCCTTGGTGGCCTTCAGAGGCACATCCTGGACTTCAGATTTCCCTCTGACCTCCCTGGTGCTCCCCAAATCCAAGCAAAGCCTCCAGGCCAGTGGACACAGGCCAGTCCTGGCAGTGTCTGGAATACCGCAGTTAGGAATAAAGCTGGGAGTTGCTCTTGGGGGAAGGGGGACAAGGATGTACCCATAGCTCTGTTCTGAGATTGCATCAAATGAGAGGTCTCTGGGAAGCCATTGTTAACCTCTCCTGTGTTTCGTTACAGGGGAAAAGCCTTTCAAATGTGAATTTGACGGCTGCGACAGGAAGTTTGCCAATAGCAGCGATCGAAAGAAGCACTCCCACGTCCACACCAGCGACAAGCCGTACTACTGTAAGATTCGAGGCTGTGATAAATCCTATACCCACCCGAGCTCTCTGAGGAAGCACATGAAGATTCACTGCAAGTCCCCCCCACCTTCTCCAGGAGCCCTTGGTTACTCATCAGCGGGGACTCCAGTGGGTGACACTTTGTCCCCTGTGCTGGACCCAACCCGGAGTCGTTCCAGCACTCTGTCCCCTCAGGTGACCAACCTCAATGAGTGGTATGTTTGCCAGGCCAGTGGGGCCCCCAGCCACCTCCACACACCTTCCAGCAACGGAACCACCTCTGAGTCTGAAGACGAGGAAATGTACGGGAATCCTGAAGTCGTGCGGACGATACATTAGAATGATTATTAATAAGTGAGATAGTAAGTGGGTGTCCTTGGACCGTATCCTAACCTGAGACAATGCGGAGCCTGAGACAAGCTGGTGACTCAGACTTGCAACTGGGTCTAATTAGCCCTATTTATTCAGTATGAAACCCTATGGTGTTTATACATTTAATTAATTTAATTAAGATATTTGGGTTTTTTTTCCTCGTTCTCCTAAAAAAAAAAAAAAAAAAAAAAAAAAGAAATGAAAAAGAAAACAGGACTGGAGATGCAATTTAGTGCTAGAGTGCTTGCCTGCCATGCATAAGCCCTGGGTTCAGTCTCTAGCACTGAAAAAAAAAAAAAAACAGAAGTAAAAAGCAACCAAGCTGGACTTGTCCATCGCAGTAGGACAGACCTGGAGGCAGAGTCTAGAGGGGGAAAAGTAGTGGAGAAATTGATATACACTGCCAATACAGTGTGTGTGTGTGTGTGTGTGTGTGTGTGTGCGCGCGCGCGCGTGTGTGTGTCTGTGTGGAGTATACTATTAAGCGAGAGAAAAAAGAACATTAAGTCAGACCTTAACACATCAACCAGGCCCTCTCCATGTCCCGGAGTGCCTCTCAGATGCCTTTGACACCACAGTGAGGGCTGCTTTTGAGCCTTCTTGTAGAGACCTAATCTGCAAAGGCCTCTTGATTGTAAAACACACACTTGCTGCACTGACAACAGATCCTGGACTGTGCCTGTATCCAAGTCTTTGTATAAAAAACACAAACAAAAACAAAACTTTACTTTCTGATATTTATCGTTTTAATTCCTATGCTTTTATTACCAATCTCACCGTGACATGATATTTTTATACAGGATTGTTCCTTCGGTATCTTTCCTTGTGTGATTTAAAAAAAAAAAAAAACGAAGCAGAAAAACAAGCCAAGTACAGCCACCTTGATATATCTCCCTCTATCATGCTACTGTGATTGTTCCAGCAGAAGGAGAGAAGAGGAGCTGCTGAGACAGACAACTGGGAAACTGTGATTTTTTGTAAACTACAAGTGATCCAAGTGCTTTCTTTTTCCTCTGCTGGGCTGTGTTTTGTTTTTAAACTGGGAGTTTTAGATGCTGCCTCTCGCTGCGTCCTAACCTGTTGGGTAATAAGTCATGAGTTATGTTTGACCATGAGTTTTTTTGGGGGGTGCCAGCATGCACAGTGAAGGCTGAAGAGGTATTACGGTCGCATCCTACCTATTTTTTTTAAAGCTTTTTTTTCTTTTCTCTAGACAGGCCAACTATCTTTTTATACTACTGTATCAACCTTTTTTAAAAGTTATTTTTAATGCATTTTTCCACCTGTGCCATGAGCACTAGATCCTCTTCCATCTGAAAATGACGATGTGAAGTATATGATTTCCACTACAAGAGGAGGACTTCCTGTACATGTTGGGTTTTTAAAAGGGTTCATAGTTACCACCAAACACTGATGAATGTGTGACCTTTGCCAGAGCTGTCAGGCCAGGATACAAAGGGTCAAGGACCTAGGACAATAACTCTTGGTCAGTTTGTGTTCAGTTGGTACAACACATCTCCTGTGCAAACTGTAGCCCAGCAGAAACATAACACACATACACTAAAGAGCACTAATTTACCCTCAGACCTTGAAGACACCCCCTTTCCCCAGGATTTGTAGAGATCTATTTTGTGTGCTGTGAGTGCTTGATGTTGTCCTGTCATTGTTAATAAGTGTCTGTGAATACTTTTATTTGTACAGGTTTTTTAATTAATTTATTTTTAAAGATCCTTTTCTTTTTCTGGAAGAGTTCAAAGCACACCAAAGAAATATATTATACATTTTGGTGAAAGATTGTCATTTATGATCCATGGTTTATTTAAGAAAAAAAGAAAAGGAAGGTGGGAAAATATAAAATATATTTTTAAGCTTACTTGAATGGACAAGGTAATGTGAAACCCAAGACTCTTCCTGCATGTTGTTTTGCCTCGTGTTGATGAGATTATAGTTTATAGATATATCACTAGTACAATGCATGGTGCTGTTATGTGGACACCTTTCAATGTTGTCTTCAGATTGTTACAGTAAATACAACACATGCAGATCCTCCTTGACAAAGAGAAAGACCTACAACTTGAATATAAAATAATTCTACATTTTAAAAGTTTATTTGATTTTTTCCCCTGTTATTCACTTTCAAAGTCCTTTCAAATAGAAAAAAAAAATAAGGTATGAACTTGGGTGGGATAACTTATGTACTGTGAATTTGTTAGGACAAAATATTTCTGATGTATGAGTTGTTTTATTTATACAACTTTTTCCCATGGTAGTTTGCACTATTCTTTACCATGCTACAGGTTTATTTATTATGAAACAAAGGAATGTGTATTTTATGTATTTTGCCATGCATAGGTTAACTCTGCCACAGATTTATTGGTTCCTGATGCACCGAAAATAAAAACCTTAAAAGTGTGTACGTCCATTAGAGAGAAGGCAAGAGGGGTGGTTGGATGACAAAGGTAATAAAGGTATTCTTCCTATGGATTGCTCCATTTGACCCAGTGACAATATCTCTGTCATTCTTTTAAAACAGAACAGTCCCTATGGTAGTGAACAGTGCCCTTCCCTGGTCTCTTATCAGCCCCTGAAGGGGTGGGGGAGAGGAAGCAGCCTGGCTTACAGTTTAATCTAGAGCAGTGGTCCTCAACCTTCCTAATGCTGTGAACCTTTAATACAGTTCTCATGTTGTGGTGACCCCCAACCACAAAATTATTTTCATTGCTACTTCATAACTGTAGTGTTACTACTGTTATGAATCAAAATGTAAATATCTGTGTTTTTTCTGGGTCTTGGCAACCCTGTGAAAGGGTTGTTCAGCCCCAAAGAGGTCACAACCCACAGGTTGAAAACCACTGATCTAGAAATCCCAAGAAATCTATGAAAACAAATTCCTGCAGGTTACAAGTACAGTTGCACAGATCTCGGGGCCAGTTCCAATTGTTAAAATCAGGAGTGTGCTTTGGTGCATAGCCTCCATTTTAAAAGGAAGAAAAGAGACAATTTAGAAAACAAAATAAAGTGGACGGTGAGAAACTTTCAGACACAAGGGAGGTGACAGCAAACTGGTCAGGAAGAATTTATAATTATGGAATGTAACTGACTAGTGGATTACCAAATCAGCTCATGGCGGGTCATGGGGCTAGGGTGAGGAGAAGATCAAATTAGACTTTTAGTTTATTTTGGAGGGTGTAACTTGAGCTCAGCATTTTAGGGCAGGTGTTAAGCAATTCTTTCATGGCAACAAAATATTCCAGCGGCTCAAATTGATACGTTTGGCAATGCATGCTAGCAAGCCTGGCTGTTTACTTGTTTCTGTGTTCACTACTACAAAACAGATAAAAGGCAAGTATTTAAAATACAATTGGTAGTCCCATCAATAAGCCTTTCTCCAAAGGTTATAGTGGCTTTCCAAAGTCAGGTCTGTTAAATGCAGGAAAGGTGAAACAGGTTGCCAAGAGTTGTTTTAAGCCCGGCGACAATAACCAACACACGAGTGGGAAAACTCACAGCTCTCTAATCAAGTTTCTTGTGAAAAGAAGGGGGACACAAAGCCACCAAGACATGAATCATTCATGGGAAATATAAAAGATAAAAGATATCTGACAGAGAGCAGAGCCTTGTATAGAGTGTATAAAACAAGTTTCCCTTCTTATTTTCTGCTTTAAAACGCACAATCTCCCACTCCCAGCGTCCTCTGTCCAGTCTATAGAGTTAAAATTGACCACTGCTCGTCCTGAGCCACTTCAAAGTAATTTAGTCCAGAACGGAAGGCTTGGCGCTTGGACAATCTTCATGGTGTGTTAAGATCTCTATGGCAATTGGCAAGCAAGACGTTCCCATCTGAATATGTCTCAAAGAAAGCCACTTACTGACACTAAGTTGGCTATCATCAAAGACTTCATCTTCCCTCTGCAAAAAAAAAAAAAAAAAAAAAAATGTGGCCTTTGCAAACACTAAATCGGTCACCTTTGTTTTCCAGGCCAGGAGGCTCCTCAAACACACGGTTCTTCCTCGTTTATATATTTCTCCTATTCAGATGTTCCTTAGTAAAACGAATGCCAGGAAAGGCTAAGGTGCTTAGAAAGAGCTTACAGGGTGGGAATTATATTCTCTTGAGTTGGAGGTGGCCACACAAGTGCCCTGGGGCCTGAAAACCTTGCAAGCTGGGTCCAACTGTCTGCCCACTGAATATTTAGATTACAGTCTCGTAATTGATATATTTCATTTTGTGGGAGCTTTTGGAGTCTTGTGCTTTTCTGAGTCATCTGGTTCTGTGCTGTGACTTGAAGAGGGTGGCTGGCCACCACTACTGCTTAGGAGTCAGTGTGGTTAGGGACTACGTCAGAGGAGGGGAAGGAGAGAGGGTTGCAATTCTCAAGTGATCACCTTAAATCAGAGAAGAGGAAACCAACCCACAGATTTAAGGATCCCTCCATCTGCCAGTGGTTTACCCACACACCACCCGTGACCTCAGGGACCTTCCAGGTCTGGAAGGACCCTGGGGTGGCCAGCACATTTCCCCTCCCTGTGAACAAAACCTCTCAGAGACCTCACGCCCACGCAGGAACATCTCAGAGCACACATTCACACACCACCTAAGAGTCTAATCAGGCGGGGAGAAGTTCAAAGGCATGTTCTTTGAAATTCAAACTAGTGTTTTTATGGTACATCCACAGAGAGAGTCAGAATTGCTATGGCCATGGGCAGAGCCAGGAGAGTCGCTGGCAGGCTGTCCACAGCAATTTGAGACACTCTATTAAGATACAGTTGCAGTGACCCTTACTTTCATGGCCAGTTAGTTCAGTCAATTCTCACCTCATCAGAAACACACGGGCAAAGATTATAAATATGTGATATATATGTGCATATCATATATATTAGCTTTCTTGTTGTTAACGATGATTCCCCTATAGAACCTCCTGGCTTGAAAGAAAGGAGAAAGAATGGAGAGAAGAGAGAAAGCGCAG